ATATATATATATATATATATATATATATATATGCAAGACATGCAAGACAATATATTATTACACATATTTATAATATACATACATATACACAATTATATGTATGTACCCATTCTTTTTCTTCTTGTATATATTTATTCAAATGATTGACAATCTATTAAATTCGTCTCTCGGACCCTTAACCACTCCTTGTATATACTAATACATTTTATTCCATTATTATTTGCTTTTATAACAATAAATTGATGTAACATGCTTGTCACCCGAATTAATTCCACATGCGCTAATGTACATAAAATAATAAAATAATATCACAAGTTAACATTCTTATTTAATTTTTCACACTTTAAATAAAACAATTCTACCTATAATCATTCTTTATAAAATTATCTTTAAATATTTAAAATATTCATCCTTTAGGTTTAGGTCTCATATCATTACTTATAATTAAATACTAAACGTCAATCCTTTGCATGTATGTTACATGTGAATATGTTTATGACAAATATTATATATTTGTCATGTGTGTTCGGGTCTTACATAAATTGTTCGACATAGGGGGTCATGCATAGAGCTGTTCAAATTTTCGATTACTCGCAAATTTCAATCCTAATCTATCATATCCGACTCTATTGATCGCTAACCGGAAGAATTGGGTAGGCCAACAAAAATTTTTTTGGTATTTTACAAAAAATCAGGTAAAAATGCGGAATACGTATAAAATTTTTATATTTCTATCTTACCCTATTTGTATATGTATATATCTCTGTGTGTGTGTGTGTGTGTGTGTGTTAATCCCTAAAAATTTAAATTCAAAAATCTAAAAACCTTAATGTTTTATTCATATTAATGACTTTCTTATATATATAATATATTAATGTTTATGATTTTCTTGTTGTATTTTCTTGTAATTATTTATGTATTATTGAATCTATTGTGTTAATTAATTAGTGCATCTTACTTAATTAAATTGTTAAAATAATTCAAAAATTAATAACTAAAAAAATATGTGTTCACCTGATTTTGCATCCGATTGTTTTGGACGAAATTCAGGTAAAAATAATACACTTGATCAAATAAGGTAGGACAATAAAAAATTCTTCTACAAAGTATCAATTAGAAAAATGGAATATCATAATTTCTACTCGTAGGATAGAATAAACACCCCTTAGTCATGCAGATAAGATGATATTTTTGGGTGAAAAAAAAATTTAGAGTGAATTTTGTACCGTCAAATAAACTTGGATTAATCTCAATGATTGTTATGTTTTTATAAATGTACAATTCGAATTGAATTAAATAGATTTATTTGTGGTCAGGGTGAAATAAGTGGCCATTCATGAGCACCAGGGTCCAAATTAGGATACTCAAAAAAAATCTGGTATTGTATTTTTTGTTTTTAACCAATTAAAATAAGACGTGTAAAGTTTTCATATATTTATTATTTTTTTACTTTATTATTTTCGCTATCACCGATTACTAACAAACCCAAAAAAGAAATGAAGATTTTACATAGTATTTTTGATCAAAAAATCAATCTTATTTATTTCATACCCTTCGCTCAATGAAAAAATAGGTCAAATTCTAAATGATCAAACCTATGAAACTTAAGGAATGATATATATATATATAAAGAGAGTGAAAAATCGATACACTACCATGGCGGTATCATGAATGTCCAATGACACTTTATTCCGACCAAAGCTATATAAGACTGAGATCCCCTTGATCTTTAGTGGTACCATGGTGCTATCCTTGAATGCCATGTTGATGTTGAACAATAGTGGTACCCTCGTAGTGCTATCCTTGAACACTATATGTTGATTGTGAAGATGGCATACACATTTATGAGATGTGTCTAAATTACTATTTGCAAAGAACTTTTGTTTTTGTTTTTTTTTTTTCCTTTTGTCAAATTTGAACTCGCAACATTATGATTTAACAATGGGGCGGTAGCTAGCAGGGTTGGCCCTATGCATAGGCCACTGAGGTGGCTTCCTAGGGCCTCAGGTTTTAGAAGTGTTCATAACCTTAATTATTTATTTTATTTCACTTTAATAATTACAAAATTATGTTATTTTATTTGAAAATTAACGTTTAATCATTAATATGTCTACCGGAAGATATGACTCTTGGTATGAAAACATAAAAAAAAAAAGAGAAAAAATAAAAAAGAATAATTCATTCAATCTAAAAAAAGGGCTCAGTGATAAAAAATAAAAAAAAACATAAGTAGAAGTGGAAGGGATGATTTAATTAGTGAACAATCAAATCATGAAATAAATAAAAATATAACTTGATCAATATTTTTGCATCTCAAAAAACAAGAAAAATAAATTTTAAATAAATAAAAATTAAATTATAATTATATATATAAAATAAAGTACAATACAATTTAATCTCAAAAGATAAATAAAATGACTTTCGTTTTTTGCGGTTGAGTTCTTTTTAAATTTTATTCTAAAGTTAATCCGATAGCTAATATTAACACCTCAAATTTAATAGGAAGATATCTCTAAAAGTGTATTTGGGATAACTTTTTAAAAATATTTTTATAACTTATAACTTTTCATAAGTGCTTTAAAAAAAATAATTTTTGAAACCATTCCGCCATCACCACCATCACTGTCGCCACCATACCATCACCCCCACCGCCACCTCCACCACCTCCACTGTCTTCACTATCGGTATCTCCACCGCCACCTCTATACCACCACCACCGCCACTATCTTATCATCACTCCTACTATCACTATTCATGTTGTCCCACCACTACTACCGCTCACTCCAATTACAATCGGTGTTTAAATTTTTTTATTTTTCATTTATGTTTGTGATTTAATTTTAGGTGTGAATACAAATATATTTATTGTATAACATTTTTTTTTATTATTTTGTCCCTTCAAGTACAGACAATAACTAGTATATTAATTCATAAAATATATATAGGGTCGTGTAAATTTTTTATCTATGACCCAGTTTACGTTGGACCACCCTGGTAGCTAGTAGGCCAACCGTTAAACTCCGTGTTATTGGGTGGTTTTATGTTTGTCAAGCACTGACTGCATGTCATTATCTCGAGTATCCAACTGAAACATCAAAAGATGTTAAAATACAGAAAATAGACTTAGTTTAGGAACATTTGAGCAAGAAACAGTGATTCGACTTAAATTTCTCATGGCACACAGCCTCGTCCAATGGTTAGATCGCTCTATTGCGACCTGAACATTTTAGAATCAAGTAAAACATAAAGTAAGATCTTATATATTTGACTCTAATTTTCATAATAACGGGACTCTTGTCCACTAAACTAACCTTCTACACTTTAGTTATGACTGAGCTTTAAATTGGTGAAATGAGTTTGAGAGTCCAAGTGGGAAGTAAAGCTCCTATCGACTAAAAGTTGGGTATTCGCTTTTCTTTAGAATGAAAGTCGCTATGAAATCCTGCTTTTCTTTAGAACGAAAGTCGCTATGAAATTCTACTATTTGTGGGGTTGAAGTACTTAACATCGTGACAAGTGACGAATGCCATATATTTTAATTATTATATTGAGAGATATTTTTCATGCATCCAAAGATCCTTCTTTTAGAATTTTTTTTTCTTTTTTGGTGAAAAAAAAAATTATGTTAGAAAAACTTGGATGTACAATATATTATAATTAAAAAATTGAATTCTCAATTTATAAAAACACAATAACAGTTAAAATTAATCTAATTTTCATTACTTTAATGGATCAAGTGGTATAAAATTTATTCTAAATTTTTTTTCCCACTCCAAATTATGTTCTCTACATAGCCCTGACAACTCAATTAACTAGTCCACATTTACCCCTCTCTCTCTCTCTCTATGTCTCTCTCGTNCAAATTATGTTCTCTACATAGCCCTGACAACTCAATTAACTAGTCCACATTTACCCCTCTCTCTCTCTCTCTATGTCTCTCTCGTTTTTTATTTTATTTTCCCTTTGTCCATTTTAATTTTAAATTACATAACTAAAATAAAAAAATATTTAAAATATTAATTATACGATCAATGTTTACTTTTTGATTGTGCAAAATATATTTAGACACAGAATTATTGCGAGTAATTTAATATCTGTCTTCAACTTAAACAGAGCATGCTCTTAGTTAGAGATATTCGGCGCTACCCCAAACTTAGTCTAAGAAAATAATATTTGAGATCCAAAGGTAACTTTTTTTTCCTTTTCCAGAGTACCCCCTCATCATATCAGATTTGTTACCTTCTCAAATGGATGACTTTTACCCAAGAAAAGCACTGTCCAATTAATACTTTCATAATTCTAAGATTTAATGATTATGAAATTGCGACATTAATGAGTGTTATAATTCCTTAGTACAGAAAAATATAAAATAAACCTCAAAGAATAGCTCAAGTGATAACAATGACAAGATCTAAACTCAAACGTCCTAAATTCAAATTTTAGTAACTACTCGAGATCAAGTCAAGAGGGATTTAAATTTATTTCTCGTGACTATCTTAATATCGACGTGTTAGTCAAAATACGCGTAAACTGACCGAGACATTTCTAATCGTTAACCCTAGTCTCGGCGTTTTGTGTCTATGTTAGCTGCGTATAACCAACGTGAAAATGCTAATGTGATGTAATTGTTACACCAAATATTTTCTCTTTGGAGGATCCTCACACCCTACTTCAGGAGGACCCATTATTTTCATTCTCTTCACCAAAATAATCAATTCAGACCCCAACCCATCATCCAGAAACCATCACATATGACCAAAATTGGTCCCTACTGTCCATCAATATCACAATCAGCCAGCTATTCAACAAAGAAATCACAATGCAAATCATTTATCTTTCATCAATAAAGGACACAAACATGCATACATAGAAAAAGGAGAAGAAACAAACAACAGTAGTAGCAGGAAAGTAAAATACATTGAAACCCAGCTTAGTATTCGCCACCACATCATCTGCACACTCGGAATATTTATTTTACACACAAACACACAGTAGAAACAAGACACAGGACTCCCATGTGCTCACACATCCTTCATCATAAAAATAGACTCCAACCACAGCTCTGTACAAAGTTCACAAGTTGAAATAAACCAACCTTCACGACAAGATTTTATCATGGATGGGCCACCATAATCCATGATGAATCTTTGAGGGTCCCACCTCATCTCTTCTCCTCCTATGACCCATCACCACCCAGTATAGATAGAGAGAGAGAGAGAATGATGAAAGCATAAAATGAAAGAGGCAAAGAGAGGTGGAGAGTGGGACCTGATTACCTAACACGCATGCACTCAATCCATGGGGTTCTCAGCAATTTCAGAAAAGCGATATCCTCATTTACAGCACAGCCCACCACTACTGTAACCATGCGTTCAAATCTGTGACTTTCTTTAACCCCCAAAAGCTTAAAAATAATCATTCCGAGTCAAGAATCATAACCCCATTTTCCTTCACCTCCTGGTAAAGTCCAATTCACCCCATTTAGCCTTCCTTTTATCAGCCCCTTATACACAATACTCTAGAGAGAGAGAGAGAGAGAGAGAGAGAGATGGTGAAGGCATCACCAACTAAAGCCATCTTACAATTATTCAAATCCAGCAATGATTCCAGTCAAAGAACTCTTACCCTTTTTCCCCTTCACTCTACCCTCTAACCAACAGCACCCTCAGACCCAACATACTAGTATCAGTGGTGCGGAAGGGGGGCTTAAAGGTAGTTAACTCCCATAGTTTTGGCCTTGTGCTTCAAACATGTCAAATAATTAATAGCTTCATCGATTATCACCAATGGATCATTGCTCTTTGGGCCAGGAAGTATACTCTCAAGAATTCTCAATGTCATGCGTATATTACCCTTCGTTGATTGATCGTAGCTTGATAGGGAGCAAATACGCTTACGATAGATCCTACTTTGTGCACAACTTGATTTGACACCATCACCATGCTTGTAGAACCTATCCAGTTTCACGGAACTTGCAGTGTCCACTAATGATGATACCTTGTACCCGCCACCAAGTAATCTTTGCCTTTTAGTTGAACCATCAGAACTAGCAACTTCCTCTGTTGTTTCCTCAAATTGTTCACGCTTTTCATCACTCCTCCTTCCAATAGCTTGTGGGGAATGACCCGTGCTTGTTACTTCATCGTCCTCACTATCAGAACAATCACCATCCTCATCATTTTCCTCGGAGTATAGTAAGGCATTGATTTCTTCTGTGTCTTCGTGCATCTCACTTCCTTCACCAAATAAGGGATTCTCGTCTGATTTCCCCTGAATGAAGTGCTCGTTTGGAGATATTTGCCCTGCTGTAGCTGCCTGTTTTCCTTCATGCAAATCACAAACATGAACAGCCGTCTTGGGCACAATAATCGGATTCTGGGAAAGGGAGGAAAAAGGACTCAGAAAGTATCTAGTTTGATTTTCCGACTGATCGAAAATAAGGAATCTCCTCTGATTAGACCCAGCCACGGCATTTGGTGTAGCCTTGACCCCAAGTACATATGGAAAATCACTTTGAGACTCTGAGGGGAATGGATTTGGAGTGAGCAGGCGGCTCTCCAACTGAGGCAAATCCTGGGCCAATCCATAAGCTCCATTTGATTCGCCTGCCTGTGAACCAGGTAAACCAGAAACTGACCGTCCTGGAAAAGCTACATTTTCAGAAATTGTGCAAGGGTTTGTACAGGATGGCAAATTATTTTGTTGTCGGGGATGTAACACTTTGTTCATGTGATTCAAATTCCAGGGATATAACGGTGTGCTCATGTGTTTCAAATCAGGTGNTATTTTGTTGTCGGGGATGTAACACTTTGTTCATGTGATTCAAATTCCAGGGATATAACGGTGTGCTCATGTGTTTCAAATCAGGTGAATGCCAAGCAGAATGCTGCTCACAAAGTCTTGAATTGTCAGCCTTAACCATCCGGCCAAAACAATCACCTAAAAAACACAGCATTGTCTGTCAAAAATCTCCCCAGCTGAAAAAACATTATTTTGCATGCAATTACCAATAAGATAATAAAAAACATACCAGGATATCAATCGTACTTATAGCTGCAATATTCAATTACTTTCGGCAAATGAAATTGAAAAGAAAAGGAAAAACAATATTCCAATTGATTTGATGTCGAAAACACCAAAGCAATCTACGTAACAGGTTTAAGCAAGTGACGGAAGTACTCAGCCTGAAAAGCAGCCAGACAAACATGGCATTGTTAGCCTCAATTATCATCAACTACAGCAATATGATCGATAATATTAAACGAATGTTGATTCAATTCACCAGGCATATGGTTACCAATGAAGCAAAAAATTTCAAAGCAAAAAGGAAAAGAATGAAAAAGAACAGTTCTTTAACCAACCTGGCAATCCTGCAAAGGTTGAAAGCATGCTATAACCCTAACTATGATAGTTGCTCTCCCTGCAATCCCACTCTCATGTTTCAATGCCCGGAATCTCGTTTGGCTTGCTGCTTGGCACACCATAACTTCTTTTGACCCTTCAATGAAATCCTCCACAATGTATGCAATAGTAATGTGCGATGCGCAATAAAATATCACAAAGTAGAAAGAGAATGAACCAAGCTAGAAATAGAGATGAACTGCCTACAAGGTTTATAGTGAGAAATAATATGAACTCAAACTAGAACTAAAGCTGGGACAGAGATATGGAGTTGTGACTGAAGTAGATTGAGAATCTCTTCGTCTCTTAGATAATTCTATGGATATAACAAACAATAAAACAAAGGTGATTGGATCCCATGGACATAAAAGAAGACGAGCAGAGATTAATGTAAAGAAAAATGTNGATAATTCTATGGATATAACAAACAATAAAACAAAGGTGATTGGATCCCATGGACAAAAGATGACGGGCAGAGATTAATGTAAAGAAAAATATCTGAAGGAGGATTTAATAATTTACAGAATAACCCTACAATATAAGTTCAAAGAGATAACTTCACGAAACACATCGATTGACAGACTCAACCACCGCATATTGTCTGATGTTTATATCCTGGCTTAATATATCCAAGTAACCTGCAGTCGTAGCAAAGGGTAAAGATTTAACAATTAAATGATTGGTAAAGATTAACACTGCAAAGTTAAAACAAGGATAAATCATAATGACATTGAATTTTTAGAAGGCATGGATAATTCTGATCTCCACAGACCACAAATATAAAATTAATGTATTTTTCAGTCTGGTTGCTTAGAAATCCATAGAAAAATGTGGGAAAAAGAAAAAAAATTAACAATCTTCAAGTTATTNCAATTAAATGATTGGTAAAGATTAACACTGCAAAGTTAAAACAAGGATAAATCATAATGACATTGAATTTTTAGAAGGCATGGATAATTCTTATCTCCACAGACCACAAAAATAAAATTAATGTATTTTTCAGTCTGGTTGCTTAGAAATCCATAGAAAAATGTGGGAAAAAGAAAAAAATTAACAATCTTCAAGTTAATTAACAATCCTCACTCTGGTTTCTTGAGAACCAAAACAGGGGTGACAAATTAACAATCTTCAAGTTAATCCCCAATAATTTCTTGGAAACCAGGCAGAAAACGAGATTAGACACAAGAAAAGAATGTACTAAAGTGGCTGATAGAAAAAAAAACCTATGACTAAATTAGCAGGGATAGAACCAAAATAAATAAAGGACACCGCAAGAAAGCATAAATTCAGACCACATGCGAGCGAGAGAGAGAGAGAGAAGAAAAAGAATAAAGATTCTTATCGACCTCAACTTAACGTTGAAGACCCACAAACATGAGAGTACTAGAATCCAAATATATATATATAATATTGCTACGATTTGCAACCATAATTAACCCAATTACATCTTGTACAACCAACTAACATAATCAATTTGGGTTTTACTTTTTCCAAGAAACTAAACAGGAGGAAAATGGTACTGAATTTTCTCGACAACCAAACTGGTGGGTTACTTTACCTATCAGAAACGAAACCATAGACTTATATTCAGAAGAAATAAACTTCAGATTAATAATCAAAAGGTTTAAAACTAAGACAAAATTGAACAGAATTCAAGAACTCACAAGAAAAGGAAGAAATCTTGTTTGGTTACTTGAGAGATCCAAGGAACAGATCGTAGAGTCTACAAAACAAATCTAAGAATCTCCAGAGCTTGTGGTGTCACAGACACAGAGAGGGAGAAGGTGAACAGTTATATAGATGCAGGCTACCTGTGGTTCATAACAGTTGGAAGAAGTGAGGCAGCCGAAGGATTGCCAGAGTTATATAGAGAACTAAATGACGAAATTACCCTTGGTCGTTGGGCTTGGGGTGAGGGCGAACGAAGTTCCCTTTATTATCACATTTAGTCCTTCAACTTTACTTCAATTATAAAATGATCTTTGAATTTTTAATTATCTCAAATTAATCTATCAATTATTATTATTTTGTCAAAAAATCCTTTTGTGCATTTCACTTATTTGAATAAACGGGTGGCTTGTCTCTATTTGTTTGAACAAGTGAAATGGATAGAAGAATTTTATTGACACAAGTTAATAATTAAAGGTTAAATGGAAACTATTAAAATTTAACAGACCTTTTTAAAATAAGAAGTAAAGTTTAAGGACTAATAATGATATATATATATATATATATATATATATATATATATATATATATATATATATATATATATATATATATATATATATATATATATATATA